GACTGTGAATTGCTTTTTTCATAGCCACAGTGTTAAGTAAAGAACAACAGCTCAGGTAAGAACTGGAAGGGACCACAATGTGTGCCTGTGCTCCCAGGGATTCAGGGAGTCACTGCAGCTGCAGGAGTCGGTTCTGGAAATTCAGAGTTGCTCCCGACATGCTGCAACTACACACCACTGCCTGAGCCACAAGGCTTTTTCTCAGGCTACATGTCACTTCTGCTAGGCCAGTGTCAAGCTTTCCCATCACAAAATATTTCCATTTTATTTGTCTGCACTAGCAGACAAATTTGTCATACAGTGTCATGTCCAAGGGACATGAACTAATGACAGTAACTGAGAGAGGTAACAGGCAAAAACTCAGTCTGGGTATTGCCAAGGAATTCAATAACTATGGGCAGCCCAGTAATTGTGGGGAGTCCTTTGTGGTTGTAAAATGGCAAAGTGGCAAAGGGGGAGTTTTTTTGTGTGAGTATATTGTCCCTTTTTGTTGGTGTTGAGATAATGTGGCTTCAATGTAGGTGTGGATTTTTTTGGTTGATGTAAATAAGTGCATGATGAAGATATATTTTAATGACAATTCAGCTCTCTAAGACCTATGACTAACCTACAAAAGGGGACATTGACTATTTAATTTCATCAGTTTGAAAGGACTTTACATTAACATGATATTAACTTACTCTTTGGAAAAACGTATAGCACTATATACTCTGAGCTTACATAAAGTAACATAACAAAGGAAATGGGAAGCTGGCATTGAAATCTATGAATCTATATCCATATACAGGATGTAGAGAGGGCAGTCAGGGTGATATACTTCCCCTTTAGAACTCAATCCAAACTTTAAGCTCCCTCAGCACATGAAAAGTTTGTAAATGGAACTTTGTATGGTTGCCCTTTACTTTTTTTGCTGTTCACTTGCGGTGGTAAGGTTTTAAGGGAAGTACTGTGCAGACAAGTCTGTGTTGACAGGAATACTGTGCTCCACACACTGCTTTGTAAAGGAGTGGCTGCTCAGGGTCTGCACATAGTGATCAAATAGATGACAGCTGCTCCTATTTCTCTTTTTTATTCAGGGATCCAGCATGAGAGTTGGACTGTGAATACTGAGCTATTATTGTTGGCTCACAAATGTTGAGCTGCTGCTATTGATTTTCTGAAAAGCTGTTTAGAGCAGTAACAAAAACAAAAAATAACATCAAGAATGATGAGGCTTCACAAATAGCCAATAAAAGAATCCACAAAAGTCTTAGTAAACTCTTGGGCTATTCAACCTTGACGTTGTCCTTTTCAATCTGAATCCAATCTTCTCCTCATGTTTTGAGAAGCCAACTGCATTTGTTTCTACCCTCACATTGCTCCACTGGCTCAATGAATCACTCTGAGCTACAGTTTGCACTTCTAAGCTTTCACACTCTACACAGCCACCCTGGGAAAGCAGAGAAAAAAATGGGTAGTGGGGGACTTGGAGTAAATGATAAAAGTCCTGTGCATCAGAAGGAATTTTTTCTGAAGTCAATGGGATATCACAGCATGGGGTGGCTGTCAAGCTAGACCCCTCATCAGGCTTCCTATGGACCTCCCAAGCATACATGCTGTCTTTTTGTAAACTTTAGGATTTACAGTATTTGATTTACTCATGAATACATGAAAAAAACCACAGTTTTTTTTCATTATAATCTTTATTATCTAAATTTTAAAAAATACAAGCACAAAGAGCAGTTGATTATAATAGTAATTTTTAAAAAGCAATTTAATTTTTACTGTGAGATTATATTCCTCAACTGTAGCCAAAACTGACATATAATCATTCCACAACTCTCAAAATAAAAAATTAATTATCCAGAATTAAATGCTCCATATGTAAGCTTTCCATAATGGAAGTCCCTGAAGAAAACTGACCCTCAGTATCTGAATATTTCATTATTTCTAACACAAGGGACTTAAAACCACTACTTTTGTTTAAAACCAGAATAATTAGTCTCATTTTATTTCATTACATCAACATAAAACTAGAGTAATGCAGCCATAAATTAGGTCAAATATTTCTAGGACTACTGACTCAGATAAAAAATTTAAATGGGCAATATAATGTTCTTAATGGACAGATGGTAACAGCACTGACTACATGGGACAATGTCTTATCCTACCAGCAGTTCCATTAAACATACTGGAGAGTAAGTTACAGCATATAATTCAGCACACAGTTTACCAGTGTCTGGCTGTGTGTTTGCACAGTGCCCTCTAAGATGGGGTCCCTGTCTGGGTATTACAAAAATACACATAAGAAACAGAAAAAATTCATGTGCTTTGAAATTTAACAAAAACATTGAGATAACTGAAATAAGAAGATCCTTTCAAGCTCCAATAACCGACTTTGCTTCAACCATTGTTGCCCCTGCCTGTGATTTCATTTCCTCCCAGGTGAACACAAATGAGCAGTGTAAATCTATTCAAAGAGTCTCCGAAGAAAGGACTTTTTCGCTGATGTTGATAACTTCATGGTTTTCTTTTTGCGCAATGGTTTCATGGGTGGCTTTTTCAGGCCCAGCACCTTTTGGGGAGTTTGTAGCCCTTTATTGAGGTCAACGTGCTTGTTGCAGAAGTACTTGACATTTGCTTCTGAGAGATGTAGAAGCATGGTCTCTGAGAGATCCATACACTGTGCATGGACCCAGTGGCCAGCCCCACTGGAGCACAGGATCATTGCAGGCTTGTTGAGTTCTGTCGAATAGAAAGGGACCCAGGTGTTGATGTCAATATTGCAACTGGCACAGCAGGTGATCCAGTAGCCTGTTTCTGATTCATCTTCTTCATCATCTTCATTGTAAGTATCAGCATCGCCAGCATCAAAGCTATTGGCTTCAGCACCAAAACAAAACTCCTCCGAATCTTCGAATGGAGTGGAGTCTCCAGGGTCTTCACTTGATGTCTGACTGCAAGTTTGTGTTATCAGTTCTTCTTCCTTGTCCTCTTCTTCTCCTTTGCATCTCAAAATGTAGAAGTAGTTTGCATCTGGGATTATTTGTTTGTTGGCCCCTGGAATGCCCAGCAAAACAGACCCTTTACCCATATCACAGCCAAACCACATTCTGCAGTGTTTAATATCTGGTGTCCACTCTGGGCCCACACTTTCAACAATCTCTATCTTACTATCTTCCAGAACTATGGTGTTACATGCCAGCCGTTTCTGGCTGTCTGAGTGGTAGCCACCGACGAGGACAAATTCATTGTCACTGATCTGGGTCACTATAGCACTTGACACTGATATCCCCCCTGGCAGGATGGTGCAGGTCACAGCCGGGCTGCCCAGGGGCAGATCAATTTTTAGCTTGTACAGGTTAGGGGACCTGGTGTTATTTTGAAGTGAGTGGCCGCCCAAGATGTAGATTGTATCATCTCTGGCAATTGAAACGTGAAAAGAAAGTCCATCTTGAAGTTCAGGAAGCATGTATGATGTACAGCATCCAAACTCAAAATCAATCAGAAACACAGAGGGCAAACAGTCGACTACGCTGTTCCATGTTTCAGTGGTTCTCTGTGCAAGAGGAGTATACGACCTCCCTCCAAACAGAACACTCATGCTTTTTCCCCGACTATGAACTACATTAATTGTATGCCCATACCTAGCTTCAGGCACATCTCCACCCAGGTCTTTCTCAATGCATTGGAATGTCATTTTCTTGCTGGTTTTGCTTACGAAACTTATACAGTAAATCTTATCAGAAAGGTCATTGTTAGGTGTTTTACCACCATGGATGATATACTGGTACTCATCAGCCCTTGCATCGCTTCTGAGCTTGCAAAGAGCAGGGTAGCGGAGGGGGGGAAGGTAACACGAGTCTTTGGAGAAGAAGACAGGTTTCATTTTGAGCGCATTCTGCTTTATATCGAGAAGGAAAACACCAGTGGGGCAGGATCTCTTTGGCCATCCTTTTTGACCAAAAAAGAAAACATGCCCATCAAAATTCAGGAGAGAGAAGCCCGGCTGAAGCAAGGATGAGTTACTGATGGTGGTTATCATCTGCAGCGACATTCTGTCTGTTGACTGGGCCATACCGTGGCTGAGAAAATAGAAAAAAACCAAAACAAACAGATCAATTAGATCCTGTCACAATTATTGTGATTATATGCTATCACAATTATTTAATAACACAACTTGAATAAATCCTATGGAAGTTGTGCTGCAGTTCACTCACTGAAACCCACACAGACACACTTTTCTGCGTCTCAAAACATGAATCAAGCACGAGGTGTGCACCATTTCGGCGCTAATTTGTGGATTTTGTGCACACCGCGGGCTGCCGGCACACACAGCCCGCACACACCGCGGCCGCAGGCTGCGCTGGGGCCGCTTCCCGGGGCGGGCGCTCCCGCGGGCCCGCGGGCTGCTGGGGCCGGTAGTCCTCGCTGGGTGCCCGGCGCGGCTTCCTTGTCCCGGCCGTGGGGAATCGGGACCGGCGGGCTCAGAGAGCCGGGGCGGTGAGTGCGGCCGCGGGGCCGGGGCCGCTCTGCCGGCGGTGGGCTCGGCCCGGCGCGCCCGGGGCGGAGGGAGCGGCGCCGGAGATGCCGCAAGCCGCGATTTCCTGCCCGTTTGTCGCCCCGAAGCGGCCGGGGATGCCGGGCTGGAGCCTCCCGGCTGCCCAGGCCCGGGGCCCCGAGTGCGGGAGCCTCGTCCCGCGGGGCTCGGGCTGCCCGGGGCGGCGGGAGACTCCCGGCCGGGAGCCTGCCCCAGGGCCCGCAGCCAGCGGGCTGAGGAAGGACAGGCGCGCACGGAGACTTGAAATTGCAGAGAGACTTGTTTTGTTTACAAGGAAATTGTAACGACAAACGTCAGGATTTGTTGATTGCATTTAGAAGGGGCGGGTGCCCGGTGTCTTTGCAGCCGTGCGGGGCTGTCTGGAGCGGCAGGCCCGAGGTGGATCTCGGCTCGGGCAGAACGGCCCCGTCGGGGGCTCGGCTTGAGCACAGGCGTGCACGGAGACTTGAAATTGCACGTTTTGTTTACAAGGAAAACGTCAGGATTTGTTGATTGCATTTAGAAGGGGCGGGTGCCCGGTGTCTTTGCAGCCGTGCGGGGCTGTCTGGAGCGGCAGGCCCGAGGTGGATCTCGGCTCGGGCAGAACGGCCCCGTCGGGGGCTCGGCTTGCGGGGCCTCGGGGGGCGCGAATCCTCTTCTGTCGTCTGTGCGCTTCGCTCATGCTTCCATCAGTAGGTTTCAGCGGGTGTCTTTTACTCTCGTAAACCTGTTTGTTTGGAGACTGAAAGCGGGTTATGTAATCGGCCTGGATATTTACTGCGAAAGAGATTTAGAGAGCGCAGACACCAGGGAGGGAAATAACTGGCTGATTCATTGGCAGTGTCCTTTGGTGACAGCAGACTGATGCTCTTTAGTAAACGTCCAAGTTCTGTGTCCCAGCATTTGCCCAATCCCCAGAATTTAAAGGTGTGAACGACATATTAGGAAAAAACACTAAATGTAATTCCTCTTTTTTTTTTTTTGAAAGCTTTAGGATTTGTATTTCCCTTGCTGCTTCTCATTTTGCTGTGACAACAAAAACAAGACACACAGAGTTTCTTTTTAAAGGGAAGATTGGAAAGTATCTTCTAGTTATGTGACATCAAAACCTGGGGGGATCTGAACAACGTTATGTAGAGGAAGAGTTGCTGTAAAAATATGGGAGCTGATGACACTGCATCAATTGCCATGTTGTACCATATTGCTGCACTGCCTGCCTGCAAACTGGTATGGGAACTGCTGTGCTAAAATAGGGATCTGCCATGGAGTGTTTTTCAAAGGTGAGATGTTTTCAGGCCAGAGCACCCAGACAGGGTAGGCATAGCCATTACTGAGTCTGTTTGAAAAAACAATCCATGGAATGGCTGTCTTATCTTGTGGAATCATCCAAAGATCATGGTTGCATTCTATTCACTCTGTAGCCTAATGCCTCTGCCCTGAAGGTGCTAGTTTTTTCTACGTTTATATTTCTTTTTAGAAGTACTGCACTGTGGGTGAAGTTCGGTTATAAGTTAATTAAATTAGTGAACCCTTTTCTGAGCATGTTGGTACACACAGCAGGTTGTGTCCTTATTATGCATGAAGAAAGACTTACGAATTTATTTACCTTCAGGTGATATGCTAAACAGGAATCTCCTGCTTGTTTCTTACAAGCATTCAAAAATGGCATCATCAGAGGAGCTTGCACTGAATTAGGTTTACTTGAATAGATGTCATTTGTCTCTTCTTTCATATTGTCTAGTTACTTAGCTTCTTTGGCTATACAGGATCTTTAGAAAAGCAAAATGTCTTCCATACTGAAGATGCCATAAGAAAATTTCTGTTCTAAATGAGATTCTTCTGCCTCTCCTGTTCTACATTTGGCTGCTGGTTTATATTTGAAGTCTGATGAGTGTATTAAAAGTGGCAAACAATTTAATTGACATTTTGGTATGCATTTTACATTTTTACATATACTTAGAGAATCTCCAAATAAGGCAATTATTAGTATCCACAATGTCACAAACTATTTCCCCGGTATTGAGCAGTACTCACTTCTGAAGAGTTCACTGTCTGAAGAGTGTGCAGATACAGAGTGGAGAAAAGATCAGTGAAAATTATTTGATTGACAGACACACAGACCACACTGGTTAAGAACACTTAAACACACTTCCTTGTTGTCTTGTGGTATTTCTTGAACTTTACATAAGCAAACAGTTCAGTATGTAATGAAGGGAATGTTTATCTGAGATTTTTTGGAAACTTTTTAAGAAGTGGCTCCTTAGGCACTGGCTGGAATTGCTTTGGCTTTCCATGTATTTTCCTGCTAATTACAGTGTGTCAATACAGCGTGGTTGCTCTTTGGCTATGCTGACCTCTAACTCTAACCTTCCAATACCACTGATTCCTTTGGGCCATGGCTCTTCTAACCCTGAACAGCTTCAGGGAACACAAAAGATCTAACCTTATAAACAAAGAGTTTGAAGTGCTTTTTTGTGGCTTTATGCTCAAAACTGGAGTTAGATTAGCAGCACAGCTGGTACAGAGGGAAACAGACAATGCCTTTGTTGTGGTGCAACACAGGATACCAGGGAAGAGACACTACAAGGAGTAGTGAAGAGAAGGGGGGAGTTACATAAACAATTGCCAGCTATGATGACTTGAGTCATGCTTCATCATATTTAGTGTTTTTATAAAAGGTTAAGCTCTAAGGATTATACAAATAAATGAGAATCTCAGCATTACTTTTATAAGCCCCCTGTTTGGGAAGCAGTAGAGACCTGAGCTAGAAACTAAGCTAACAAAGAAAAATACTAACATTCTCCCTGTTTATTTTAAAATCAAACAGTATTTTTAGCAGGTTTTTCAGGGTTGTTTGTATGGCAAGAAGAGATTACAAGGAATTTAGATTTTGATGGCTGTATTGGGAGATACATTTATAGAAGGATCCAATGAAGACAGAAGGTGTTTTTCAAAAACACTAGCTAATGTAATTTGAAATGTGCTTAATATGGAAATAGGTGGACATAGTTACAATTTTGGGTGATGTATCATTTCAGAAACTCTATTAGGTGCTTGTGGAGAAGTACAGGATGAACATCTTTTAGAGGCAAGGGGTAGCACGAGTGACTGAAACAGCAACTGACATTTCATATACCTTTGGATAGTCTTCCTTGTTTTCTGGTTTCTCTTATGGAAGCAAGTCTGCCATTGTTCTGTGTCCTAGATCCTAGTAAATCTAGGGTTTATGAAATGTCACTAGATAACAGTGTTTAGGCACTGAGTCACTCACAGACTCTGTTTATTAGTTACTGTCCTCTTTGACCCTATGCAGAAATGGTTTGTTCACCTCTGTGCTTTGCCTGTTACCTGTTAGTTAGGCAACAAAAACATTCTAATCTGGAGAACAATGACTAATCAGTGCTGCTGTTTAGTGTGACATCTCATATTTTTCAGCATTGAAAGTATTGTTTATAGTAATTTCACAGTAATTTGAATGCTGCAAAATAATGAATGACTAATGAGTTGATCTTATGAACTGTAGCAAACACAAAGAACCTTTTTTCATCTATACAAAAATAAGATATTTGAGCAGCTGTACTGATTGGACACTGAGAGAATGAAATGCAGGATATCATGGAGTCTTAGCTGGTAAACACCCATTGCTGACCATTAATTAGTTTGCAGTTATTTTGGTGCGAACACAGATACCTAGTATATAATTAAATTGATTTTGCAGTATTATATTTTTTTATTTTTGACATACAGGTTTTTTCATTTCCAAAATGGAAAAGCCTACCCATGAAAAGCAAGTGCTGTTTCCAAATTGTCCACAATCAAAATCATATCCAGACCCACAGAGAAGTTTGAAGTCCTCCATAAAGAAGCTTAAGGAAGGAAATTTTTTATATAGTATTTCTCAAAACATTTTCCAAGTGTATCAACCAAGTTTGCTTTGGGCAAAACAGTAATTTAGACATACCTGGCTGATAGCAGGTTTTTTCGTCCTCCGTAATCTTTCTGTGTAATTGGAATTCAAATGTGAGCAATGTGAGGAATCTTCTGTGACAGCCCAGGGGGCTCGTGGCATGAAGAGACAGCCTGATGGAGGGGATTCTATCTGCTTAATTTGCAGATGTGCTCCTGAGAACTGATCTGCTGTGGCTAACTGGCTGTGACTGGTTTGTTTCCTTTCCTCTCTTGTCTTCAGATGGCACAACAAGAAACCCACCAGCCCCCAGAAGCTTTAACTCTTTGCTGTGGAAGAAGCTCAGAGTGACAGCAGGTGCCTCTTAGGTTGTAAATATCTGCAGCATACACTTCTTTATGGTTGTTTTTTTTACGCTTTTTACTTTTACACCTGCCAACCATGTGATCATCTTCAGAATTTTTAAGTGCTTTTTAAAAATGTAATTTAAAATAAATTTTGAGTTAAAAAATAATTTCAGTAGGTAGTAAAAGAAAACAACTCTTGCTGATTGGCATACTACTTTCCCCAGGAGTGCTCAGCTGCAAGCAGGCAATGACATTGAAACAGAGCAAAGGAAATGACAAATGCATGCAGTTCACTGAGTGAGGGTTGACTAAAAAGTCCAACTCAAAGTCCACTGAAGTAATTAGAAATGTCTTTTTTTCTCCTTCGGTGGCCTTCTGATCAGACCTTGAAAGACTAATAAAACTTTGCACCCTTCTGTGGCATTTTTCATCAGTTTCACAGTGCTTTTCTCCAACACCAATAAATAATGAGACTCTGGGAAGTCCACTGGGAACATATCCTTTCAACAGCTAGCAGTGCTGGGGCACAGAGGATAAGCCACTTGCATAACACAGCACAACAAATAAACAGAAAAACCTGGAAAACAATTTACTCTTCATAGCTCCCTGCTTTTGTTTTCCTGGCCCTACTTCACCCACTCCTGAGTTACAACATCTGCTGCACAGTATTTTAGGAATATCTCAACTCCCATTTGAAACTGCTGTGAGAATAGAAATAGAAGGAACTTGAAATGGAATTTGATTAGTACAGCAAAGCAAACACACCAAATGTTTGCGAAAATTGTCTTGAGACACTGAGTAACTGTAATGCAGATAGGATGTGGTGATGTTTCTCATCTGAAATACAGCAGTGCTAAGGCACTGTGCCCTGTAGCATCCATATGGGCCTTTTCTTCTGAAACAAAGATAAAAGGAAACTGTAGTGCAGAGGTGAATGCTGAAGAACTTCTCCCAAAGTTGAGGGCTTTCAGATCACATTTATTTGTATTTTCAGTAGGGCCTAGACCTAGATAATACTCAACAGCTTTTTATCTAAGTGTTTGATGTATTCTCACCCTTGTTTGAGTCTGTGGTCAAAGATCTATTGGCCAAAAACACCTGAAAATCCAACAAATATTTAAGTGAAAAATCTAGTTCCCAGTTGTGTCACTTTAGTATTTTACATTCATTTTAGACTTTTTCTACCAGTTGACATGCCTTATCTTTAGAAATTATTTTTCCAATTATTCTGGTTGAGAAGATGGAGAAATTAAATTTTTTTGACAACAACAGCATGTCATTTTTGGATGAGGACATGGTCTGCCCAAGCTGGTCTCTGTCAATGACAAAGTGCTTTGGAGAAGCTGCAGCAAACAGCTTCAGATTAATGTATCTACATGGTAGGGAAATTATGTTCAAAACTGTCCTGGTCATAGCAAGAAGATTTCCATCCTGAATTTAACTGGCAGAGAACCCACGTGAAAAGGAAAAAATAGAGTTTTCTTCACAATTTCTATTTTAATAACATGGACACAGCTAGTATGTTTTCAGCAGATTGCTCACTGTTATGGAAATGCTTTATTTCACTTTATTTTCTTCTTCTACAATTAATTTCTTAAAATAATATGTTGTTTGCATCTTCTTCATCCCAAATCATTCCAAATTGCATTGAGATATTTCCAGGCTTTTCAGCATATTTTCTGCCAGTAAAACACAGTCATCTCTGAGCTGAAATGTAGCTGGCTTCCTGTGGGTTGCAGTAATGCACTCCAGCTCAGCAGGGAAAGGGAAGGCTGCCTTACTCATTTGTGTAGGGTTTGCCAGCCAGAATGCAAATATGCTGGATACTTAGCCAGGACCCACAGGCTGAAACCTGTAAAAAAGGGCACAGGGAGTCCAGCATCCTACAGTCTTCAATTTTCTGTCTCATGTAAAACTGACAGTAAACAGTATTTAACTTGTGAGGGAGAGGGCTTTATTTGGAGGGCTTATCTAAAATATCTGATTGAATCCAGCTGTGCTTTGACTGTCAGATCCTGGACAATCACATTCCAGGGGGCACTGGCTGTTGCAGTTTGAATGAAATGTTATCCTTGCCATGGGCCTCCAGGTTGTCTTTAAAGGGAGCAGTTCTCTTGAAGCCATTGGAAGTTCATATAAAAAAATTCTGCTCAGGTATGGGACTGGCATAATAGCACTGAAATCCAAAAGAATCAATATGCTTGCTTGCAATTAAAGCCCATGGATATGTCCTTTAAAAGCTCATATGAGCTGGGCATGAGAGGCACATGTTTTTGTCCATCTAGAGGTCAGCTCTCAGGCTCAGTTATGCACTCAGGCAAGCAGATGCAGCTCCCATCCCCACAAATTGCTGATGCATTAAGTGTGTGCCCTTACGGCCTCCTGCTGAAGGCAATGGCAAACATCCAGCTGATTTTAACAGGATTAGCTGTCCTAGATCACATTGAATTGAGAGATGTTGGAAGGAGCCTCATCTGAAAGTTTTTGTCCTTTGTAACTTATAGTTTTTTCCTCCAGCTGGGTTGACCTGCACCTGCTTGTGGCCAGAACTTGGCGCCTCTGTGTTTGCTCTGGAGCTCTGCCTCCCCACAGGTGGTGGTAGCAGGGAGGAGGAGGGAGAAAAGTAGGGTAGGGCAGTAGAGCAGGGAGGGCTTTCTTCTGCAAGTGTAGATTTGCAGATGTCTATAGACAAGAAGGAGGCAGTTTTCTGCCTGCAGGAAAATGGGTAACTGCTTGACTCAAAATGTTTCATGTCTTTCTTGAGCAGGGATTCCCAGAATCACACCTTTCACCTGGCCTACTTTTAAAGCACCATCCTGGGATGTTTGTTAAGGCAGCAACCACAGTGCAATAGCTAACAACCATTTGTTAAGGACAGGCTTGGGTTCCGGCTTTGCCTGACTCTGCACCATGGGGGCTGATGATCCGTGCTGCAGGCTCCAGCTGGGCGCCGTGGGTGCCCTGCTGACATCTGCTTCTGCAGCGTGCAGGAGGCACAGCTTTCTGGGCCATTTGAGAAGGTGTTTCTTTCAGGGTTGCATAAGCAACTATGACAGGCTGCCAAAGGGGCAGTCCCGCATCCTTCCCTTGCTCACACTGTCCCCTTGTATAGGCAATCGTGATTGTACAGCTGAAAGGCAGATTGGAAAATATATCTTTAAAACAGAATATTATATGCATTCTCTCTGTTAACTCTCAGGTTTTGTATTGGTGATTTATTTTGTCTGCCCAAGAGATGGACTGGAGTGGTAGACCAGGAGGTGAAGAGAAAGTGAAGGTGGTGGTTGCCTTTTTGGGAGCAGCCAGAACCTACACAGACTTAAATTGATTCTGAGTGCACTTGTCTGCTAAAATCTCAATCTTTTTGCAATGCTGCTACCTCATTCTTCATTGCTGCAACAATTTTGTTAAAGGTGTAGTTACTGTGATAGCTCTGTAGGGAAAAAAGGTGGGGTGTTGTCCAGTGGTAACAGAGTATAAGATTTAAAAATAGTGTATTTATGTTCAATCTGATTTTTGCAGACATAATTATAAAATCTTGATAGCAGGTGTACCTAGTGGATATTTTTCACCCATTTTTCTTTGGGTGAACTATTTAAAAAAACCCCATTTATTAATCAGCCTTTTTTTAAATTTAAATTCAGAATGAGTTCTAGGAGAGTAAATCCATGGTGTGAAAACTTGACTTGAACCTATGCCAGAAGTGAAGTTGGTTTTTTTTTTTCCTGAAAAATTACATAAGATTTTATTGAATTCTGGAGACAATTAGCTTTACTGCTCTTTCCTTAAAAAAAATTCATAATCTTGATTTTTCTTTCATTGCCTCTGTTGTATTTAAAGAAACATAAAGCACTTAAAAATGCAGCATAAATCAGGAAGTTCATATTCCACCACATTTTGTGTTGTTTAATAGAATTAATCACTGTAAAATTGAAATGATGCTAATACTCACTTGACCTGCCTATTTGATTCAATGCAGAGATTTCTGATTTGTTTTAAACTGCTCAGAAGAAGACTGTGTTTTGAGAAATAAAATTGATTTTGCACAATCTGCTGATGATCAGCAAGGCTTAATGAGTGATCGCCTCAAGAAACCTCATTAAAGGCATTTGGATGGATGAGCAGGAGTAAAATGCAAAAAAAGAAAGCATAGTTGGTGCTTGAATGCATCACTTACTCATATTTGACTCTAAAAGTATCCAAAGCAGCACAAGGAAAGGATCAGATACCCTTGCTTTACTTTCCTTGACACTTCCAAATTAGTTTGATTCCTTTGGGGAAAAAAGAAGATAAGTTTTTTATTTTAATAGTATCTGTTCTTCACCAGAACAATGCAGTAATTTCATTCCTTGAAGTATCATTGTATCAACTTTTTAAATTGTGGAGGATTCCAATCCATTACTGTGTATTTTTTCATTTTTTCAGGATGGTTTAAATAAGTAATTGCCTTGAGGTAGTGAATTGGGTGTTTGCTGAAGCCTTTTACTCATGTAGAATCTACTGGTTAGCCCCTTAGCAAAGGTGAGAGTCTTCTGGTCAGCCTGGTTTCAGCTGTTCACCTCACAAAACTCTTCTGTGGTTGACACGGTGTGTTGGTCATTTAAGAGAGACTCTGGAATAAAGCAGGTGGGAAGCAGCAGAAAACAAAGTGGAATGAAAATGAAAAAAATACCAAATTCTTGATGGGTTGAGATAAATTAGCATGCATCCTTCTTGTAGCATGCATCCTAAGCACATGTTCAGTTTCAGGGATAGTAGATATTCCCCACATACCATCATCTGCACTTGCTGTTATTTAGGGCCATGCTGCAGCACTGGGCAGTTCTGGAAAATGCTTGCAAACAGGGAACAGATAGTTCTGGCTGCCAGTCTCTCCTCTGTTGTCTGAGAGAGTGGCTGTTTTTCTGACAGAAGCTAGGCTTTCATTAGAACCTAGCTGGTTTTTTCCCTCTGTGAGGAGATGATTCTCTAGACCTCAATAACAGCTGTGCAAGGGAATATCTGAAGTGAAGTTTCCCACATGCTGTAGGAAGTAGAAGCTGCACAGCAGAGTAAGAATTGAAATACATGATTTTGGAACCACCTGGTCTGGGTGCTGAATCTCAGGCTGGTGATCTGGTGGCTGTAGAGCATGGCTTTCACAGAGAAAGCTATCATGCAGATGGTTAAGGATATGATTATGCCCCCAAAATGCATAATAATTTTCTAGTTTCCTAGAGCATTTTAGAGTGAATTAATGTAAGATTGCCCATCAGCCCTCCACTAATTTGTTTTTAAATAATTTTAATTCCTGGTGACTAATTTTTTAAAATCTGTTCTTAGGAATAGTATTTGTTTTCCTTATGGGAATGTTTTAAACTTTATTTTGTTAGTGTTTGTACGGGATCTGGAGATCCTAGACACCAGACTTCAAAGAAAAACAAAGTTATTAACATTTTCTTGATTAGATATATATATTTTTTTCTTTTACAGTAGCCAAATCACAGCTCTATTTCAAGTAATGATTTTAATACCACAATGAGGAATAGAAGGCACTGCATGCCTCTCAAAGCCCTGTAATAGACATAAACAACTCTGAGGGTCTGGTGAGTTATATTCTGCTTTGTCAGTCCACAGAGAGATTAATAATGGTTGGATTTTTTGTAAAACATTAGAAACTTAAACTTCAGGTCATGTGGGTGTGCATGTATTTTGATGTCTTCATTAGTCTTCCTTGGAAGCAGGCAATGCAACAAAATTAGAGCTTTATGTTAGAAGTCATGCTTTATTTTCTTTCTGGTCTCCAAACAATTATTTTTCAATCTTATTTGACTTCAGTATCAGGTTGGCAGCCTTTCCTTAGTGTCGTTGAATTTTTGGTGAAGAACTAAGCTTTCATTCCCAAAATTCACTTTTTAGTGTCATGGTAATGATTTAGGAGACAGAGGAACAAATGCAAATCAAGTGCTTCGTGTATAATGCGTTCCTGCATCTTGATCAGGTTTATGTGTGCAAACTGATTCTATTAGTGTGGACCTATGAGTATGAAAAATAAATAATATGGGTAATTGTTTAGCATCATGCAGCTGTTAACCTGCATTTATACAGATTTTATGAGTTAGGAGCAAGGTTAACTTCAGCAGGCTTCACTAAGGGCTATTCAGGACTGTGGAGTCTGGTTAAGTGATGAAGGTGGGCTGCAAAGCTGTTGCTGTGTGACTGGAGAGTGGAGCTCCCTTCCTGCATTTGTTTGAGAACAAACTCCATTGAGGAGTGGTCCTCTCATTCCTGCATGGCTGTCCAGCTCCAGCATGCTCTCCCTGTCCTGTGTGCTGCCTCAGCACACACAAACACACTCACACACGTCATTGTGATTTAACTTGTGCTCCAAAATCTGAGGTTGTGGCTTTGATGGTACAGTGAGCAGTGCACCTGAAGATGATGGATTCAGTCCAAAATTTGAATGTACAGCAGTGTCCTGGTTGTTAAATACAGCATGCTGATGAGAAGTGTCACGGTTTCTGTGAAGAAGGCAGGGTTTGAAAGACTGAACAACTTAAGGGAGTGAACAACACCAAGAGAAGCTGGCTCTTCTGTGGCCCATATTATCCAAGGTCATAAATTTCAAGCATAAATGATCACAATTTCTCTGTCTATACTTAAAATTTCTATGTCCATGTGAATTTTGGGAGAAATGTTGAGTAGAATCCCACTGAGGAGATCAGAACTTCACAAGGAGAGAAGAAAAATTATACTTTCTAGTGCCCATCTATGTGAATCAGGGACTTTTCTGTTGATTTGTTTTCTGCCTGGAGGTATTTATAGCTTTTTTCTTTCTATTGCAGGAGCAGCCTACAAAACCAGATATACCTATTCGACTCTCAAGGTGTGGCTGATCATGGGAGAACCACTGTTAGAGAACAGCATCCTCGATCAATTTATTAATAGCCATGAACAGTCATATGAGGAGTTTCTAAATACATTCACATATCTTTTGAAAGGTATGTAATTTCCCAAATTTCCTGTTATATACCACAGACAGAAGGAAAGATAAAAAGACAAGCAGTGGTATTTAATGTTGTGCTACTCACCTGCTTTGTAACTTTAGGCAAATCCTTGTGATGCTTTTGTTTTTCCACTCAGCAGTGGGAACCCTAAGGACAACTTTCTACAAATTGTTTCCCAGGCTGCTGTGTCTCTACAGGTGGTTAGCCATTTATGCTTGCTTTAGGGAGGAGGGGGGAACATGCACTGTTTGGAAGGATTGATGTTTCCTAAGTACATCTTGCATTGTTTTGCTTGAGAAGTCTCCATAAAAGAAGAGCCTAAGGAAAGTACTTAATAGTGTGAAATGGCCTGAGATTAGGAGTGTGCAGTTTGGGTACTTTCACAGCTTTACTAACACTAGCCCACTGTGCTGTGCCTGTGTGTGTGCCTTCTACAAAGTGATTGCATTCTATGATGAAACAGCTACCTAGAGGGATGTGGATATTGTCTAAATTGATTTCAGCAAGGCTTTCAACACTGTCCTTCACAAAATCCTTGTAGGCAAACTCAGGAATTGTGAACTGGATTAATGGACAGTGAGATGGGTCGAGAGCTGGTTGAGTGGCAGATCCCTGAGGGCCATGATCCAGAAGAGATCCATGAGAGGGGACCTTATCAATATCTATAGGTATGTGACAGGAGGTATCAGAGGATGGAGCATTGGTGCCAAGCAATAGGACAAGAGGCAGAGGGCAGAAACCGATGCACAGAAGTTCCACTTGAACACGAGGAAAAATTTCTTTACTGTGTGGGTGAACGAGCACTGGAAGAGATTGCCCAGAGAAGGTGTGAGTCCCCCTCAGTGGAGATACTCAAGATCTCTCTGGATACAATCCTGTGCAAGGTGCTCTAGGATGACTCTGCTTCAGCAGGGAAGTTGGACCCGGTTACCCACTGTGGTCACTTCCAACCTGACCCATCATGTGCCAAGCTAACAGGTAACTTGGATGAAGTGCAGCAGGACATGGATGATTAGGCTGAAAAGATCTCATGCTCTGCAGAGGAAATAAAAAGTGGAGCTTAACCTTGGTTCTGAGCATTGCTGAATTACAGAACTCCAATTCTGTAGCTCGGGTTCACATTTTTTAGCCATGTTCAGACAGGTGCCATAAAAATGAGTGCAAGCTACATATTACTCACAATTCTCTTTACCACTGCTTTGCACTAGAAGTGATGTGCTCATACTGTTGCAGAAGCACTGTATTTTTCAATTACAGTGTGTGGCATGCCCCATTGATTGGTACTCAGAAGTCTGTCCTGTCCGTATCCTTGAGGCAGAACTAAGTGTCAGTCACAAGGATTGAGCAGAAAACCAGTGGGGGAGCTGAAGCTGCCACAGGAATAATCTTGCGGCAACTTTCTGTCTCTCCTGACTATAAAATATAGAAGAGAAAGGAGACACTGGGGGATGAGATAAGAGGATTGAAAATCCGGTTCTGGTCTTCTTATGTATGATTGATACACTGGGGATAGCTCCTATCATAGAAGCATGCTGCATATCATGATGCTACTTGCAAAAAGCCTCAGCGTGTATTTCAGTCACTTTCACTGTCACTGTAGGCATTTGCTACTAAAATCATAAAAAAGGTAGAGCTTTACCTGAATCAAATGCTTGGAAATGCAAGTTCTTATGATGGTATGAACTGAAGAGCTCAACTTGTTTTCCTCCCACTTTCATTTTCCTTTAAAAGTACTCAACGTGCTGGTTTGCATAACAAACTAGTGACCTGCAAAAATGCTACTTAAAGCATAAAACATACATTGTCATCTGATAGATTTTTGTCTGTCATAACACTGGAAACAGAAAACACACAAAACTAATTAGATTCCATTGATATCACAGAGTAACATATTTACAGAAGGTGATTTTCACTTGTGCATGAATTTATACTAGGTCTGCAGTTGGCATTGCAAGGATATTTTCAGCTGAATTTTCTATTTTATTATTGAAAACATCCCATAAGAATCTGATACCCTAGTGATTTTTAAATTTTTATTCATATGTTAAATTTACACACAGTGAAGCTGTAAAAAATATACCTTGAGTAGAAGGACCTAAGCATCCTTGGCTGTTCTGGCCTAGCTAAAAAGAACCTTTTGAGGCTATAAATAGCCTGAAGTGACCCCCTGTGAACACATTAGGACCTTCTGCTGAGAGTAGAGTTTTGTTCCTAAAAATGTGGGAAGCAGGATTAATTAATTGAAATGAACATTCCTGACTTCAGTTTGGCTTTTTAAGAATTGCTAATATCCCAATCAAGAAAATCACATTTTTAGAAAGTTGACTTTTTATTGTATCTGAATTTGTGATATTACCTTTGACTACTTCTGTTCTTCCTTGTGCTGTGTGGAAAGATACTCTCTTAGTTCACATAGAACAAGATCTGAAGTCAAAATAAGTCCTTCTAAATTCTGTGTAATTGGTTTCATGATGTGTGTTTGGTTTAAGTAGCACAGAGATATGTTATAACCTAGCTGGACCATAAAATTACATCTTTTATATGGAATTTTAATCTTCCAGATTTTAGTATTCCTAAAAATCCCAGTGGTTCTGTTTTTCAAAATGTGTTTGGTGCAGTGAGAAAATAAGAGTTCATAGACTAATTGACAAGTAAATCCTACAGTAAGACTATTTCCTCACGTTTACAAATCTGATGGAAAATAGATAATCATACGTAAATATATTTTTAAAACTCTGACCTCAGCATATAGAATATACTGCTCCAACAGAACATGACCTATATAGCTTAATGAAATAATATTTTAAAATTATAGGAGTACTTCCTCCATAAGTGGATTTTTTTAAAAACCTTTTTTATTGATTCTGTAGTGGATGGGCATTTGAGGGCTAGGATAAGATTCCAGTTAGGTCTCTTTATTTTTCCTATTTAGAGCATCCAAAGTGTGTTTTTTGTCATAGGGATAATATTAACAAGATGAATATATGGCCAAAAGGGCTGGTGATCCCATGGGAATGTAATTTAGTAAATTAGAGCATGAATCCAGGAAGATGAGATCTTTCATACTCGCTGTAAAGCTTTGCAGTTGAAGGAGGCTCAGAAAAGCTGAATTTACAAAGGAGTGGATGATACAGATTTCTGCAGATGTGGTCAATGAGTGGTGTGTTCAAAGAGCTGAATTTACAAAGGATACAGATGTGGTCAATGAGTGGTGTGTTCAAAACTACACACTTTCTAGAAAAACTTTGAATGAAATCTCATGGAAATCCATCCAACACTGCTTTTGAAAAAATTGCCACAGAGGACAAAAGACTCTTTCAAATCTCAGGGAGAGTGTTTGAAATCTGGTGCAGAGCTATGATGCTCAAAATCAGAAGACAGCATCTGCTTATATTTTAAAACTCAGAGGAAAAATGGGAAATTCACTGGAGCATAAAATATCTCATTTGACCTTGTGCAAAAAATACAGAAAAAACCCCCCAAATGGTCCAAGCTTCAAAATTTTCATCTAGATTTTAAATTACTCCTCTCACATTTCTAAAAATATGGGATTAGGGATCACTCAGCTGGATAGGAAAATGCTGCCATGAACAAAATTCTTTCCCAAATCCAAGTAAAGATTTGAATTTTTTTCCATGGTTCTGGGCATTTTACCACTAGAATTAGATGAATTCCATTCCTGCTGTTAAGTATGCTGTATTTCATACACCCTTCACTGCCTGGCAGTGTGATGAAGTCCAGGGAGCTTGATTAGACCCATCTAATGGATTGAAGCTTGGATTGAAACTTCTTAGCCTTGGTGCTGTTGTTTTGATGCTTCTGTGCTGAATGAACTGTCAAGTGGAGGAAGTTTGGAAGTGACTGATCACTTCTGTGCTTACAGGTGCCGTGCCAGGGCCATATTCTGTGTTGTGCTCAGATTAACTTAATTCCCCAGTGAAAGGCGGGCAAGGTATTCAGTTCACAGTCCATTTGACTGTAGCTGTCTGCTTCCTTTTTACATGAACCACATTTAGGAAAAACAACAACTTTAAACTTCCCATATAAGTGTCAGTGGGGGCACTTTGCAAACGTCAGTCTTCACAGCAGAAAGCATAGCAGAGAACTATATGAGAAGTGACAGTGAATGCACTTTTGTTTTAAAAATGGACCAGTAGGACAATGCTAACCCCAAGAGAAATTTCAACCTATGAGTAGATTTGCCAATAAAAGCAACTAGACAGTTCAGTAAAACAAATTAAATTAATCTGTCATCCCCAGGGAACTTAAACAGGGCATGAAATAGGGAAGCAGCGTCAATTCAGAGCTTTTTATTGATGTGTTGTGCTGGATCATTTGATAGAATTGGTTGGGAGACAAAATTTGCAGTTTTCTATTGATTATAAATTCAGTAGCTATCTCTGTGTAGCCTTTATTCAATGTAGTATAAAATCAAATACCATACAGAGCCCCTAAATGTAGAAAAAATCCCAGACATAGAAATGCAAACTTAATAGTTTATTTTTGAAATAATAATAACTGATCTGTTTTATGGATATTTGTTGTCCTGGTATTTGCTCTGCAAGATACTTCATCTCAATTGTATAGACAGGAAAAAAATAGGCCAAAAGAAGGGAAATGTACATTTGCACAGTAGCTCAGTGGCAGCATCAGATAAGCACAGAGGCACTCAGACTCCTGGAAACTTGAACAGCCCTTGAACAGTGTGCTTCCCTAATAGCAATTCTTTGTTTCCTGTGATGCCTTTTTTAGTAAACAATTTCTGAAGAGTATTTCAGATTTAAAAAAAAAAAGTATTTTCACTCTCTTGCATAACTGAGATTTTTTAGAACATAGGAAAATATTTAGTAATTTTGCTGTTGATACTTTGGCAGAGTTTCTATCCTATAGTGGCATATTGGCAGTGATTGAATTCTGGTGATATAAAAAGCAGTAACACAGAGTGAATTCTGCTGTACCTCATCACCTTGCCTAGAAAGGCATCAAATTGCACT